AGACACTGAGAGCAACAACCAATAATGAGACATCCTGAAAATGAGAAGTTCTGTAAAGCAAAGAACACAGTCAATAAGACAAAATGACAGCCTACAGAATTTGAATAGCTCTTCACCAACCTCACATCTGACAGGGGGCTGATTTCCAAAATATATAAAGGACTTAAGAAACTAGACAACAAATTACCAAACAATGCAATTTTTCAAAAGGGAGCTATAGATCTAAACAGATAATTATCAAAAGAAGAATCTCAAATGGCCAAAAGACATTTAATAAATTGCTCAACATCCTTAGTCATGAGGAAAATGCAAATCAAAACAACTCTGAGATACCATCTTACACCTGTCAGAATGGCTAAGATCAAAAACACTGAGGACAGCTTATGTTGGAGAGGATGTAGAACAAGGGGGACACTCCTCCACTGGTGGTGGGAGTGCAAACTTGTATAGCCACTTTGAAAATCAATATGGCAATTTATCAGAAAATTGGGAATTAATCTACCTCAAAACTCAATGATACCACTCTTGGGCATATACTCAAGGGATTCTCTAGCATGCCACAAGAACAATTGCTCAACAATGTTCATAGCAGCATTATTCATGATAGCCAGAATCTGGAAACCACCTAGATGCCCTTCAACCAAGGAATGGATAAATATGATCAAAACACTTTTGAAACACTTAAAGAGCTAATCAAACAACAACAACAACAACAACAACAACAAAAACAATTGCTTCTAATCAATGGGCTATAATGGTGGGATTTAAATATGATCAAACTACTTTTAAAACACTTAAACAACTAATACAAAAAAAAACACAAAAACAACAAAGCTCAGAGTTCGCTTACTTCTAATGAATGGACTATAAAAGTCTTTGTATGTGTGCATGTGTGTGTGTGGGGGGGCATATAATCTACTCCTGGAGTTGTGGTTAGTATTTTTGAAATTCCAGTAATGAGTATTATGCAAACTTAATGTGTAAATCAAAGGATAGGTTTGAGGTAGTCACCTCAAGTGTAAAAGAATGTCTATTGAATGTAAAAAATGGCAAATGTCACGGGGAAATTGTTATTGTACACTTCACTGTTTTAAGAAAGTGGTCACCGTTCTTCCAACTTTTGGAACCCATTGTCCTTTTCATTATACTCGCCAACAATACAGAGGAGAAATCCTTCTTCTCCCGAGTAAGAGTGTACTGCCAGGTGAATGAGCAGATAATCACTAATACTTTGAAGGAAATAATTTTCACGCTAAAAGAATACTCATTTTAGCCGGGCGGTGGTGGCTCACGCCTTTAATCCCAGCACTCGGGAGGCAGAGCCAGGTGGATCTCTGTGAGTTCGAGGCCAGCCTGGTCTACCAAGTGAGTTCCAGGAAAGGCGCAAAGCTACACAGAGAAACCCTGTCTCAAAAAACCAAAATAAATAAATAAATAAAAAAAAAGAATACTCATTTTAATTTTGTACCATTAAAAGACTAATATTTGAGTTGAACAACCAGAAAAGTCCTATGACCTGTTACCACGTTATCATTGCCTCAGTGAGATCTGGTTATGATGGCACTCTTTATCTCAAAGTATGCCAGACTATGCTTACAAACTTTAATGAAAACACTGGTCATTAATTTCTTATGAATAATTTGTTTCATTCTTATACAGTCAAACCGAAATTAAGGATACTGAATGAACAAAATTACCAAAACACATACATTTTAAGTATGTGATAGTTTTCTACTAAACTATCACAGCATTTTTAAAGCCATATCTTGAGTAAAAATGGTGATACTGTTCCTTAAGAAGCCCACGAGAAGCAGGTACCTCCAATTTTTCCTAGAGACTCAATCTAGATTTTTTCTGATTTTTTCAGTTTATAAATATGTTAAAATATGGACAGATTAAATATTATAAAGACAAATGTTTATGCTTAAGAAATAAAATTTTATATATTAATATTTTTCATTAAAATGCAAAGATGTTAGACATTATTTTCTCTATGAGAGTCTACATCTGAAAAGAAAAGTGCTTTGTTGGGTAACCTGATAATTTCAGCAAAAATGGATTCCCGAGTCCTCTTTTGACCCTGATTTGAACATAAATCCACAAATAAAATGAATGGCTATTTATGCTTTTGTTTTAGATATGGATTTTGTCTTTCTTTTTTCTTTTATAGTTACTCTTTTATGGCCTAGGCAATCAGTAACACACTTCAGAGAATGTAAAGAGATAGACTTCCAAAAATATTACTGATGTTGTATTTAATGGCTTGGAACAGCAAATTTAATTAATCTCCAATATTAAAAATGACCCTTCAGAGGTGAATAAACTGCCTGGAATTTTTTATGCTTTTAAAGGTTGTGGAATTTTGAAACTATGCAAAATTAATCATACATTGATTATCCATTAAATCATGAAGAATGACGAAATACTAAATGCTTCCATTGCATTCACAACAAACACTGAAAAGTGGTTTTGGTGTTCAATACCAGTGTTACTTGCGATTGCTTTCTTTTTTTTTTTTTTTGGCAACCCAGTACCTTTTGTGGTTTCTTCGCAACTTCATTCTGGGTCTCATTTTAATATTATTGAACTAATAGCTACAAGTTTATATTGTTAACATAAGAATTCATCTTTGATTTTCTGAAGATGCAACTCCTCTTGACTACATATTACAATTCTCTGTTTTCATAGTGCATTTGAAGTATCTTATAATGGATTAAAAAATGAGATAGATAATTTTATCTTCTATTTCTTGAATCAATCCTAAATTGGGACTACAAAAAATATATACTATTTTAGTTTAAGAAATACAAACTGAGGTATAGTGAAACAATTGTGTTCAGTCTCTATCATACCACAGAATTGATTATATTTTTGACTCAATGGCAAAATATATTTTGGTGTTCATTTTAAATATGCTATTTCGTTTTTCAGAGTAATTGCTTTCTGAATTTTAATCTTTTTCATTTTAATAATAAATATATTATTTTATAATTATAATTTTAAACAAAACACGACTAAATTATTATTAAGAACATTAGTCTGAACAATATTTTTAATTCCAATTTTTAATGCACATGCATGCCTTCAACAGCAAATGTACGCACAAGATTCATGAGAGAGCTTGATGTGTTAGTCAGCATTACAAGACAATGGTATGCACTAAACATTCTGCTTATTTGTTTTAATAAGATAATGTAAATCTTCTGAGTATGTAGAATAATCCCACTCTGAAAGCCTAGATACACAGCTTCATTCTGACATCCTAGGTAGCCTGAGGGAAGTTAATTAATCTTTCTGTTGAACTCATTTTTAAATTGAGAATAAGAATAATCCCTAGAAATAATATGAAGGTTTAATTAGGTTAATACATGTAAAATGTTTGGCAAAGTGCCTGGCTGGCATTAAATGCACTCTAAATAAATATTAGTTATTTTTATGAAAGGAACAAGATGGATTATATAGTAATATTTAATATTGCTAAACTTTAAGCAATATTACATATAGGAAAATTGTAATATATATGAGCATTTCCTTTTGTATTGGTTTATACATTGATAACTCACTTTAGCTTAAAGAAAATGAGACAAGTTTTGTATATACTTAAAATATGTAAGAACTGGGCTGGAGAGATGGGTCAGAGGTTAAGAGCACTGACTGCTCTTCCAGAGGACCTGGGTTCAAATCCCAGCACCCACATTGCAGCTCACAACTGTCTGTATCTCCAAGATCTGACACCCTTACACAGACATACATACAGGCAAAACACCATTGTACATAAAATAGAAATAAATAAATTATTTTAAAAAATACATAAGAACAAATTGATATTAAAACTAATGAAAAGATTTGAGGAGAAATCAGGGATAGAATACAAACAACTGTTAAAATACTTGATCATAGAACTTGATCTAATTACGTTTAATGCAAGAGATATGACTTCTTAAAGAAATATGTTGAATAATAAATAGAAAGGAAATGAGTCACTAAACTGTGTACTCTGTGATGTAGTTGATATATTGAAAAGAAACTGTAAGATTTTCTTGTATTCAGAAAATGTTTCCATGGTTTGATAAAACTGAGAAGAATATGATAGGTGCAACACTTAGTTTTTATGAACTTATAACGTCAAATGAAAAGCACAGACATTTCCAATGAGAAAAACAGGTGACTTATCACAACTGAAGAGTACCTCATTTAAAGAGACATAAGAGCCAAGAGAAGACCGTGGGTCACTTTTAAATAAACAATGCCTGCCTCAGAATTTTTGTCTTGGTCCTCATCAAGCTTTGGAGTCAGTATTTCTTTATTTTTTTGTCAGGGTTCTTTTATATTTTTAGTGATTGTCTTACCAGGAAGCCCTGACTGGCCTGGAATTTGCTATATATCAGGAAGGCCTGTAGCTCATAGAGTTCCACTGTCTTCTCTCTCTTGTGAATTGGGATTAAGTGCATATACCACCATGCTTGTCCCTGGGGTTACTGTTTATTGCAATTTTATAGGATGCAAAGAGAATGTAAGCAATGAGAACAAAGAAACATGTTCAAATTTGACTGTAATGTCTTTTTCAAAATATTTTTGGATGGAATAAAAGGAAAGATATAATGCACTCAAGAATTCTCAGATTAACAGGAAATTAATGAGCTCTACCTTGTAAGAGATTTGTTAGAACATGGTTGTTTTACAAATATTTTCTAAAATATTATATATTAAAAATCATTTCCCCTTATTCTTTACTACTTACAAACCTTTACATAAACCCCTCCATCCTCTCTTTCAAGTCCATGGCCACTTTCTTCATTAACTGTTGTTACAGGCAAACACACACACACACACACACACATAGATGTGTGTGTGTGTGTATGTTATAGACACGTATATATAATAAGTGTTATATATGTATTTATTATGTATGTATATATTTGTAAGTTTTCTAAATTACATATGTACTTCTTGAATTCAACTTATTCAGTCTGTATAATGTTATTTGTATATATTTTCAGGGCTAACCATTTGTTTTGAATAACCAGTTGGTATGCACTCAGGCCCGTGGTCCTAATCATCCTCTATGCAGACCTGCTGGGTAAAGCCACGAGGAACTCAAGAATGGGCTCCCACAGGACATACAGAACATCCAACAGCACATGTGTTATTTCTATATTCTGATATATGTAAGTACATATTTTAAAAAGTTTTTGTCATGTTAAATGATTAAACAGCATGCTCTTCCTATTGCTGAGTGACAAAAATTTATTTTTGAATTTTTTGAAAGTGTTCAATTTTAAATGACATGACAAAGGAAAGCATTAAAATTAATCTAATTCAAATAGAAGACAGACATGTCTAGATTAACTGATTCACTTTCCTTCAAGACTTTCCTGTGTCAAAAATAATAGAAAATAAGTGAGACTACATGGTCCCATTGATAAGGAAAGAAATGAAAACAAAAAAAAAGTTTTGGGCATTTTCAGAGCATAGTGTGACTGGATATATATGGATTAAACCCATGCCTTTTTCTTTTCCTTTTTATGATGAAAAGCTAATTCTTTATGCTACTATTTACTCGTTGCTTTTGTAGGAATTATTGTTGACTCCTCTAGTAAGGCTCAAATTTCTCATGCAGGGGCTCATAATAATTCCATAATGAATACACATGGCATATTCAATTCCTGCTTTACAAAGGCAGTTTTTTATTTTGGCTAACGATAGCGATTCAAGTAAAACATTACCATTTTCTTTCTTTTAAAAATCCAAGAAGAAATTTACAAATAAAAAAGAGAAAAAATTCCAAGCTATTTTTTGTATACAAATACATAAATGCTTGAAATGTGTGTGTGTATATATATGTGTGTGTATATGTATATGTATATATATATATATGTATATATATATATAAACTGTATGGTTCAGTCTATATGTTAGAATCATCATTTATTTTATATCTTTTCAATCTTTCTTTCCCTTCCCTTTCTTATTCTTAGGGGAAAGCCAGGGAAGAAGATTTAAGTAGGGAGGAGAAATCTCTCTCTCTCCATGTCTATATCTATCTATGTCCATATCTATATCTATCTATAATCAATCTAAATAGGTACATAATGATGATGATAGATAGATAGATAAATAGATGATAGATGATAGATAGAGACAAATTTTAGATAGATATATAGATAGATAGATGATAGATAGATAGATAGATAGATAGATAGATAGATAGAATAATACATAGGCTTATGCATATCTGTATGTAGTTGGTTTCTTTTTTTTTCCTCTTTGGAGCCTGCCACCTAGCTCCCAAATAAATACATGAAGATTTATTCTTGCTTATGAATGCCTTGTCTTAGTTTGGCTTGTTTCTAGCTAGCTTTTCTAACTTAAATCATCCTGTTTCTGTTTAACTACATATTGCCTCTGGCTTTTTTACTTTGTTTATTCTAATATCACCCTTTCCTTCTTACTCCATGGTTGGCTATGTAGTTGGGTGGCTGGTCCCTGGTGTCATCCTCTCCTTCTCTTTTTCTCACTTCTACCTCTTCTCTCAAGCCAAGATTTCTCCTCCTATTTATTCTCTCTGCCTGGCAGCCCCACCTATCCCTCCTATGCATAGCTATTGGCTGTTCAGCTTTTTATTATACTAATAGGGTACTTTAGGAAGGCCAAAGAACATGCTTTACATAGTCAAAAAAATGTAACATAAAAGAATGCAACAAATCTTTGCATCATTAAACAAGTATTCCACAGCATAAATGAATATAACAATCTTAAACTACTATTCCAAATATATATGTATAAATACATACATACACTATACTATATATATATATACACACACACATACACATGCACACACACATATACACACATATCTATATCTCTATCTATCTATCTATCTATCTATCTATCTAGAGAGAGAGAGAGAGAGTTTCATCACAGGGTGTGACATTGCTAATCAAGAGCCTTGGAGTGTCTAACAGAATGTCAATGCCTTGAAAGAAAAACCTACCTTTGAATTTTTGATCAGGGAGATTTAGAAGACTTAAAAAAATCTATAGGCCATTGTCAATGTTGTTGGTTTTCTTTCAGAACTTGAAGGTAAGATCCTATTCCTAAAGACACTACACCAATGCAGACATTTGACTTTGGTTAATTAAGATGAAAGACATAACCTGGAAGCCAACTCAGTAGAACCTAGGTCTCATAGTATCAGAAATTGCTATGCAAAATCTCAGGGGAGAAAGTCATTCAATAATCTTAATACCTGTAAAGATTGCAAACCATGGGTGGTACAATAATGGCACTTATATGTTAGGGTAACCCACAGCTGTCTAATTGTACTTTAGGGCCACTAAGTTGGTGGTAATTCATTCCTGAAACCTTAAAACTAATGGCCTACCTTTGAGGTCACAGAACCTACTACTATCATTTTCCTAGATGATTTATTTCTCATTGTATTCTCAACAGTTTATCCTTATGTTGAAAGACAAGTGTAGCTTTCATATCTTACCAAAGAAACTTATTTGTTTCTAGTAGGTAGAGGGATACAGAGATCCATAGTGTTATCTAACATTTGTTTGTTGCAAAAATGATCAACAGGTCCTGGTCCCATTGTAAATGGCTCCCCCAACAGATCTAGTCACATACCTATCATCGACATTCAGAAGGCCTAATTTGGTTCCATGCATTTTTTTCCAGCTAACAGACCAAAGTCCATGAGCTGCCACCAGTTTGTGTCAGCTGTTTCTATGATTTTCTCCATAATGGTCTTGACCTTACTTGCTCCTGTGATTCCTCCTCCCTCTCTTCAACTGAAGCCTAGCAATTCAGCCCAGTGCTTGGATATGGATCACCGCATCTGCTCCCATCAGTTACAGGATGTAGTTAGAGTATTCACTATTTTGATTATAAGGGAAGGTAAATCTAGGCGTTCTCTTCACTATTGCTAGGAGTCTTAGCTGAAATGGCTTTTTGGAACACATCCCCTAGGGTGGAATACCCTGCTCAGCCTTAACACATAGGGAAGGGAGAGGGTCTTGGTGCTGCCTCAACTTAGTATGCCAGACATTGTTGACTCCCCAAGGGAGGCCTTACCCTCTCTGAGGTGTGGATGGAGGGTGGAATAACAGGAGTAGGGGGGGGAGGAGGAGGATGGGGAGGAACTGAGATTGGTATGCAAAATAAAAAAATAATTAAAAATAAATTTAAGAAAATCATAGACAAATGGATTTTTAAGACAGTATTCATATCCTCATTTCATTTGCCAGCATATTTTTTGTATTTGCTGTTATTGAAATCACTGACCAATCTATGATCTGTTCCTATGTCTCAGAGTACAAGGTACATTTTGAAGTTTATATACAGAGTGTCCATGTTACAAGTAAGACTAAGAATACAGAATGCAGGTAAACTATAAGTCAAGTGTTCTTTGAGAACCTAATGAGTGAGCAAATATTATTAACCACCTTGGACTTTGATTGAATGAACTCTGATTAAATAGTGGGATATAAAGTAGTTAATGACTTGCTGACATAAAAATTATAGTAGAGTAAGTTGCCAAAGACATAAAACTATCTGTTTTTATTTTTCTAATCTTTACCTCTAATGAACTTCCAATAAAATTTTCAATAGAAAATGGAGAATCAAGGAATAAGAAAGACATATGGAAATAATACGATTACCCCCACCAAATAGACTGTGGATTTGATTGTGTGTCTGTGTACATTATATAAATCAAAAATAGTACCAACGTTGAGGGGGACTGAGAGAAACATTGAAGTAATTGGAATACCTGGGTAATGTACCTCCTAGTGAGGGACAGAGAAAGGTGAGTTTGTAAAAGGGAGCAATTAACTCAACTGAGTATGGCATCAAGCAAAAATCAAAAGAGCTATTTGATGTTTCATGTTTGTCCTAAAAGTTTATTATCACTTGGAAAGTCATTTTAAATAAAGTGAGAAATATCAAAGCCAAACTGAAGGCTCATTATATTATCTAGGATATGTGGTATAAGACTGAGAAAGCCCACTAACGTTTTTGAACATTATTTCTGAAATATAGAAGACATGGTAATGGAATTGTAATGCACAAATTCTTGGTGTCCAAAAAGAAAAACATTAAGACAACACACCATCCTTTCTAGAGATATCTCTCAAGTGTATTTGAACATGAGACTCACCATTGACAGACTCTCCAGGTGCAACCCCCAGGTCTCCTGCTGATTATCTTCCTTAGGAGTCATGTTTGGCTCTAACGAGACAAAGGCCATCTTGGTGCTGCTTTGGATCATTTTTGCTAGTAAGCCGATTCATGCAGCATGCATTTGAATAAAAGAATTCCAGGTCAGGTCATCAGCACCTTGGGTATAGACAGTTGTAAAGGTGAGACCAATATTATGCTGGCCCCTCCACTGAAGCCACAGAAGTTATGACAACACTCACACTCAGTTGTAGTGCGTGGATCAATATCTTGCACTTATTTCTCTTATTTTTACTTGAAGATATACCTTGGATTCAAAACAATACAGACTTTTTGTTATCCTAAGTATATTGAAAGAGTTTATTCCTGTTATTCGTGAGTTTGTGTACTTTATAAATTAATTAAAGCAAATATATCTGTTGTATCAAAACATTCCCTCAAGGAGGGGCAGGGAAGGTCATGAGAACCTGGAAGTAAACAAAATGTCATGTATCTGGAAAAGGAGAAATTTGTAAGTTTTTCAAGGTTCCCTCCCCAACTCTATGGAAAGAAATGCAACAGGTAATGGAATGAAATCTGACTAATGATGCTGTCAAGCAGAAATTCTTGGACCTTTTGAGCTGCCTGCAGGTTATTGTTCCAGCTACCACCAATGTTGGTGTATGATTTTCAGTGTTGTAGCTGTATTTTAGTCATTATTTATATATTCAATACCATATAAAATTGCTAAAAAAAATCGATGTACATATTTATACAGAAATAGGGAAATAATAAACTATAATTCTAAGAGCTAATCAGTTCAATGACCCCAGAAAGTACAGAAAATTAACAAAATTGCAAATAAATGATTAATCTACAGCCATTAAATTTTTCTATTTTGGCTGCCACATACTTTGGTCACTTTGTCATATGATGATATGTTTTAATATCACTTTCAAGAAAGTAATTAGAAAGAAAATTTATCTCTTCCTCTGGCATGGCAAAGTTGTATGTTCTTTTTTAGCATTTTATATAAGAGCATAATGGTAACTATTATTTATAGCAGTATATGGTTTTATTCTCTTTGTAAATAGGGATTCTTAATTCTTGAATTTTTTCTATTTTGTCTAATCTCCTAAATGTAAATTATGTTTACATTTATCTAATGTATTGCATTGCAAACGTAGTATATTACTCACAAATATGAGTATGCATGTCTATATTCATACATATATAATTCTATGGGTTATTTATGAAGTTTACATTCATAATGATCATATAGCTAAAGGTAACCTTGGAAATCTACCTTAACCTGCAGAGTTCTAGGTATACCTCTATTTCTCATATATGCCATGTTGGATGTCAATTCCAGGGCCCTGAGCAGGCCAGATAATCACTCTCACATCTGGCACATTTCCAGATTTTAAATATGTTTTTGAATGTAAAGTACTTCTGTTTTTCTTAAATTCTTCATTGTAGTGGGTAGCCATTCCAGCTTTGATCTGGAAGTTCCAACCTCCATTGAGGCTTCGGCAACTGTCACACCTACAAGGCGGGGCCAAGGGAGCTGCCTAGAGACCAGAGAACTGGATGGGCTAGCATTCTCTCTGTTCCTGAACCCTTGAAGGTGGAGGTTGACTGATCAGAGCTCCAGAGAACACCGCTGGACTGCGATACACCTTCCCCAGGCCCCACGACCTACCTATCCCTTCATTTGTAAGTTATCCACTAAATACATCTTCCTTTTAACTATATGGAGTGGCCTTAATAATTTCACCAATATCTGGTGCTCATGTGGGGCAAATTCCAAAGGCCTGGGTGGCTCCCACCCTCAACCTCCTTCCCGGGCTGGCAGGTACCTAAACCTGCCTGCAAAGTTCCATATAACCAGGGAACACCTACATGGTTCCATTCCTGAAAAAGAGAGCAGCTAGTGTGGTCTCA